AGTGCTTCTTTTCCCTCCATAGGTGCATCATTTTCATCTCTTCCTGGTTATTATTACTCTAATCCTCATTTTGTGATGCCTAGTCCAGGATCTTTCCATCAAGGGGTTCCTTGGTACACGTCACTGCCTACTCATGGCGGTGTGGATTCAGTTAAAAATTCCCAAGTGTTCATGGCTTCTCCAACTGGATTTGCCTCTACTACTCCATTACCTTGACCTGCTGTAACAACTAGCAGTGCTGATCCCGTATGGTATCCAGACATGGGGGCAACGCATCATGTTGTAAATGATTCATATCTCCTTAACACTGGTATGACATACACAGGTAATCAGTGTCTTCAAATGGGAAATGGGGAAGGTGTGAAAATATCTCATATTGGTCAAAGTTACTTGCCATCTAAAACAATGCAGCTGGTTTTGCAAAATGTTTTGTATGTTCCTGACATTAGGAAAAAATTATTGGTTGTTTCTCAGTTTACTCGAGATAATAATGTCTTTATTGAATTCCATCCGCTTGAATGTTTTGTGAAGGATGCTCGGACACAGAGTGTGTTGTTAAAGGGAAGCTCGCGGATAAAGGTCTATATCAGCTTTTATCTTCTAAGAAGTAAAAATAGTAATGAAAACTTGTAATGTTGCCTCTAATGAAATCTCCTTATCTTCTGTTTGCAATGCTTGCTTACAAAGTAAAGCTCACAAGCTGTCATTTACCAGTTCACTCACTGAATACACTGCTCCATTTCAACTTATTGTTTATGATGTCTGGGGGCCAGCACCAATTATTTCTAGTGATGGATATGCCTACTATGTGTCATTCATTGATGTATACAACAGATTTACCTAGCTTTACTTAATTAAGAGAAAGTCAGAAGTTATGCACTGCTTTCTAAATTTTTACAAATTTATTGAGGTACAATTTGGAGTTAAGATTAAAAGTTTGCAGAGTGATGGTGGAGGAGAATATCAGTCTCTAAGAGGCTGGTTTTTAACTAATTGAGTCCAGCATCGAATCTCTTGTCCAAGCACATCCGAGCAAAATGGCAAGGCTGAAAGAAAACATCGCCATGTGGTTGAAATGGGGCTGTCTCAAGCTTCATTACATTTGAAATTTTGGAGTTATGCTTTCATCTCAGTAGTGTATCTTATAAATAGATTGCCTACAAATGTGTTAAATGGAAAGTCTCCATTTCAGGTTTTACATCAACAAACTCCTGATTATTCAATGTTACGAGTATTTGGTTGTGCATGCTTTCCTTTATTGAGACCATTTAATCATCATAAATTGAATATAGATCCAAGCAGTGTGTGTTTCTTGGATACAGTCCATCACACAAAGGATATTGGTGCCTTGATGATGCTGGGAGGATGTTTGTTTCGAGGCATGTTATTTTCGATGAAAACAAATTTCCCTATGATGCGTGTAAGATGACACATCAAGAACATGTAGACTCACATATTTCAACTTGGTAATTGCCCATCATCTTTGCTCTACAAGTTCAAACTCAACAAGGATGTGTTGATACTATTTCACATATGAATAGTATGCAACATGAATAGGGTGATGACAGTTAGCTCGGTGATGACAGTCAGCTCGATCATGAAGCAAATAATGGATGAGTGAATGATAGTTAAAATGCTCATGAAAGCAATAGTGAAGAAGCTATTCCAGCAGAATCGAGTTCTATTCCAGCAGAATCGAGTTCCACCACTGTTCCAATTGAAACAACACTGCCACAAATAGATGTGGAAGCTGGTTGTAGCTCGACCTTAAACACTCATCCAATGCAAACAATGAGTAAGAGTGGTATTTCAAAACCTAAGATATTTCAAAACCTAAGATATTTCAAGCCACTGCATGGGTTGATGAAGAACCACATAGTATTAAACAGGCTTTGGCTAGTCCACATTGGAAAGCTATTATTCAAGAGGAGTATGAGGCCTTGCTGAAAAATAAAACGTGGTATCTAGTGTCATTACCTAGTGACAGAAGGGCAGTGCGTTGTAAATGGTTGTTTCGAATAAAAAGGAATGCAGATGGTTCAATTGCTCGGTATAAAGCAAGATTGGTAGTAAAGGGGTTTCTTGAGTAACCAGGTATTGACTTTCATGAAGTCTTTAGTCCTTTTGTTAAACAATAAATGTGCGTGTCATATTGATATTAGCTCTGTTAAAAGGATGGCAACTTAGGCAAGTTGACATCAATAATGTATTTCTCAATGGAGTGCTTATAGAAGAAGTCTACATGACTCAGGCTCCCGGATTTGAATTTGGTGATAAGAAGCTGGTTTGTAAGTTGCATAAAGCCATGTATGGCTTAAAACAGGCACCACGTACGTGGTTTGACAGCTTACGGAGTTATCTGGAATTAGAAGGCTTTGTGGTAGCCAAATTCGATTCTTCTCTTTTTGTTCGAAAAGGTGAGAAGTGCTTGATGTATTTACTTGTATATGTTGATGATATAATTCTTACTACCAATAATCCGAGTGAGGTTCAGATTATTATTAACAAATTGCATGCAAAGTTTGCTCTGAAGGATCTAGGAACTCTAAATTTCTTCTTAGGAATTGTAGTTAAATATGAATCAGGAGGTGTAGTTTTGTGTCAGCAAAAGTACATACATGAATTGTTACAGCGCAATGGATTTGAAAGTGCAAATGGCCTTCCTACGCCAATGATTACAAACTACAAACTTTCAGCCAAGGATGGAAATCCAATTGAGAAAGTTACTCAATTTCGCAGCATTGTTGGAGCTATACAGTATGTTGTGATCACTCGTCCAGATATCACCTTTGTTGTCAATATAGAGTGTTAATTTATGCAAGCTCCTCTTGACACTCATTTTCAGGCTGTGAAACGAATCTTAAGATACTTACAAGGCACGATTGACTTTGGTCTACATTTGTTGGGGTATTCTAGACTTTCCTTGGCAGGCTTTGCTGATGCAAGTTGGGGAGCAGATGTGGATGATAGACATTCCACTTATGGTTTCTGTATTTATTTTGGGGGCAACTTAGTTTCATGGAGTTCTCGGAAATAACAGGTTGTGGCTCGCTCAACAGCTAAAACTGAATATCAGAGTGTTGCGTGTGCAGCTGCTGAAATGGTATGGCTTGAATCTTTATTGAGTGAACTGCACATTGTATCTCATGTAAACCTACTTTATGGTGTGACAATTCAAGTGCAGTTGCAGTTTGTGCCAATCCTGTTTTGCATTCTAAGTTTAAACATGTGGAGCTTGATCTCTTTTTTGTTCGAGAGATGATTGCAGCAGGGAAGTTACAAGTTCATGAAGTTCCTGCATTTGAACAAGTTGCATATATTTTAACAAAGCCACTGTCTGCACCCTTGTTTGTAAAACACATACAGAAGCTTCTGGTTGTGCAAATCAAATGCACAGGCTGAGAAGTTTGAAAATTTGCCACTGCAGGGAGAATGTTAGCGTTTATGTTGGATTAGAAAGGTGCAGAATGAAGTAGCAAGGGGAATGTTAGTGTATGATGATAGTATGTGTGATGTATGCATGGACTGGTTATACGTATAAGTCATGCATAATGTACGTGAGGTGGTTAGAGTTGTCTTAACAAACTCTCTCTCTCCTCTAACGTCTTAACAATCTTTCCCTCTTTTCATTTCATTATTTGCTGTATAAATAACCTTGTGTTACTGCTGTAGAAATTATGATTTTACAAATGAATGAAAGCAGTGATTCATGGTTTATTTGTGAGTTAGTTACTAATCTATGATGATACTTTAACATGGACTTCTTTACCCAACTTCGATTATTAATTTTAGACTATTTAGAAAAACACATTACTTCCTTTATTATACAAATTAGTACCTAAATTTAGCAACAAAAAAATCAAATTGGTATTTATTTGAATTGAAAGAGATAATATTAACCAGTCAAAACTACAATATCATGAAGTATCACATGTTATAGTTTAATTGATTGTTGAAATGTAATATATATATATATATATATATATTAATTTTAAAAAAAAATTAAAGTTTAATACATTCTGAGAATTTTTTTAAAATTCAGATATTTGAGATAAAAAAGTTTAGATGCCAGTTTAAGGAGAATTGCCAAATTCAGACGCTGATATATATAATAAAACCTTACTTTTAAAGCCCGTACTACATTATTTTGATACAAAAATATTATCAAATAATCCCTAGACAGCTAACATCCAACGACTTCAAACTATATTATATAATCCATTATCCAAAAATTATTTGTTTAATTAAGATGTATGTTGGGGTTAATCCCTTTACACATAAAGTTACCGATTCATTTTAACATCGACTAGTCAAATAAGTGGAGTGATAAAATATTATTAATTTTTTTATCAGTATCAATTCAAATTTTTTTAATTATTTGATATTGAATGATGATATTTCTTCTTAATATTTACATAATATTTTTAGATTTAGTTTAATTTCAAAATTAGTTAGGAATAAAGGGTTATTAGAATAATTATTTCATAAACGAACTTAAAATTATGAGAAATGTATATAAAACTTTTTTTATACAAATAATTTGAAATCTCTAAATCATTTTAATCTATCAATAGTTTTCTATTTTTTAGATTATTTCTTTATGAATCCATTAATATATATAAAAGATTAATGATGTGATTGACAGAGAAAAATAACTTAATTGGTCAAAAAACATAATAATGCTAGTAATGTTCCGGAAGGATCAATTGTTTTCGTGTCCACTTAAACAGCCACAAGGAAAGCTTCATTTTAACCCATCACCTTATCTGTTAACAATTAATATTTTTATTTAATTTCTTATATAAAAAAAAGTAATAATTATTTAATTAAAAAAACGTAATCCAACTAATTCTCTTACACATGGCCCCACCGCCCAATTTCCGCAAAAAACAAGCCTCAACCGTCCACTCACACTTCATTTCGAATGTAACGGCCAAGATTGACTCATAGTCTGCGTCCTTACTGGTTATATATTTCCATTCACCTCACTCCCCCTGCCGTTAACAGCGCAAAGAAACCAAAGGTTTTTGTTTTCTTTCATCCTCTCGTTTTCATTACCTCCAAAAATGGCGCCGGCGAGCACTTGGATGTTATCTTTGAAGGTACTGTTGATTTCCACAGGTGTATTGACCATAGCTTTAGGGCTTAAAGTCTCTGTTCCATTGGTCATGGAATTCTACGTTTCTCAAGCTCCGTTGTTATGGACAACGTTCTGTTCTTGGCTCAAGCCGCCGTATCTTTACGTCATCATCAATGGAATCATAATCACGATTGCAGCATCGTCGTGGTTTCATCAAAACCATGCCGAGAACGAACAGGCGGAGCAGATGCAGCAGCCGAGATCGAAGATCTCCGTGGATCAACGGCCTGCGATGGAGCACGAGCTTAAGAGCGGCTTGGATTTCGGTGTAGCGGAACCGGTCGTGTACGAGGAAAAGCGGGTAGTAGAAGAGGTGGAAACGATGGTTTTTGTGGCGGAGACCAATGTCGCGATTGCTGATAGGGATGGAGGAGGTGACGAGTTCGCTATCTGCAAATCGGAGTGGATTCCTCCGAGGAGAATGGATTCGTATGATATTCCATCGGATATTCTGTTTCAGCTGGATAAACCGCCGGTTTCCTCTAGATTCGGTCACCGGAAACCTGTTAAAGCCAGTCCTGAAGGTATATTCATCATTTTTCATTTAAAAATTGTTAACGGTTACTCGGTTAGGTTCTCTATATACCTACTTTTTGAAATTCAAAAAACTCTGCAAAGCTCGCTGGTCCACTCGACGGAGGCGTCCGGGCGGTGTTTCCGTTATTTTTTCACGTGTTCCATGTTACATGGTCTAATTATTGTTTTAGTCCCTCTATAAAGTTAGGACATAATCCTCTCATCTTTAATTGATTTAGATATGGATTGATTTGTAAATTTTAGAATAGTAGAGACCTTTATTCTTTCTTAAAACTTACAAGTCCGTTCAAAGATGGCGTCTACTGGACGACGCGCCACTGAATAAGTTCAAAATAGTCCTTTTTAAATATATGATTAAGAAACTAAAAAAAAATCAAAATAGCGTAATTAAGAAGGTTACGGATAATAATTTGCTTAATTAATTAAACTGTGGCTTAATGCAGGTGGCCGAGCATTGAGGCGGGTGGCGAAACCCAAACGCCACGAGACGTTGGAGAGCACGTGGAAGATGATAACGGAAGGGAGAGCAATGCCATTGACGAGGCACTTGAAGAAATCGGACACGTGGGAGAATCACAGCCGTGATATCAACGTCGAGGCATTGGCCGATTCGACGGCGATGACGAAGAAATTTGAAACTTTCAGAGACCGGACCAACTACCAGCCTCCTCCACCTGTACAAGTGAGCTCTCCTTCTCCGGCTTCGGCAGTGAAGGTTAGGAAAGAGCCGTCGCTGAGCCAGGACGAGTTGAACCGGCGAGTGGAAGCGTTTATAAAGAAGTTCAACGAGGAGATGAGGTTGCAGAGACAAGAGTCGCTTAATCGGTACATGGAAATGGTTAACCGGGGATGTTAGCCGCTAAACATCGATTAATTAACCATAGTTTAAAGCTTTAAATCTTGTTTTTTTTAAGAACAGAAAATATGTTCATTAATTTATACAAATATGTTTCCTCCATTAGGTCTAAAGGAAGTTCAGACTTGGAGTTGTAAAAAAAGTTAAATATTTTAATTATCATTATAAATTTTTAGATATATGTACCCAATGCATGTCTTTTATTTTCTTCTAATTTTAATTTTTCATCAAATAAATCCCACTAAAATTTTTATAAATCGGACTAAAAAGAGGTGAGGAATCTGAATTATAATTTTTAACATTAAGAAAAAAAGGGTAATGAAGTGTAATAATTGATGTATAGCATAATCCCTAAAAAGGCAAAATTCGTTGGTAACCTTTCACTAAAAAACCCATCATTATAACTTAACATGCGTCCCTCATAAATGTGGCGTTGTCCCAAAGAAACAAAAGTCAGTGCCCAACCAAATGTTAATGCTGATGTTTCTTTAATAAACAAAAGGAGTAAAATTTATTTGGTATTAAATCCGGTATTTCATGTTAATTAATACTGATAAATATTTTTCTTAAAAGTACTCCTTTTAAGATGATTTACATTTCTTTGTTATAAGAATAAATGGAATTCGTTAGTTGTGGGTAGTGTAAATGGAAAGTTGTAATCGATGAGAGAATGATCATTAATTGAATATTTTGTATTGTAGCGGATCGATCATGATGAGGAAGAAAAATAAGAACAATTATCAAAGGCGCCAATCCCTCTTTTGATTGTATTGATGTTATTTATAGTGATATTTAATATGTGTGTCAGTCGTAGAATTATTATAATTATCGCAAGTCGACAGACTAAATATATTTACGAGTTAGATTTTAGATTTTACTCTAATAAATTGTATGGATCTGTCATAGATTTTGTAAACGTATTACAACTGATTCAAAAGTTTAGATTCAATATGTCAATAGTTTATGAAATTACCTAGCTGGAGATATTAAAAGAAGTAGTGATCATATCATATAAAATTAAAGTATATAAACTATACTGCAAATGCAAGTATACTATAGGCACCGAGGCCATAGTTTAACTCAATATATATATATATATTACTCCATAATCTTAATTTGGTTAAAAGGAGAACGAGAAACGCAGCAGAGAAGGGATTCAAGACAAAGCACGGTTGATTTTGAAAGTGTTTTTCCATTACTTCGTAAGTCGTTTAACCGTTAAGATGAATTTCTGTTGGAGCTTACGTAATTTCACTTCGGATTCTTCAATTTTCGTTTGGTTTTCTGGGAAATCGTATAGAATTCACAATGTTCTCATGTTTGTTGATGAAGAATTCTCTTGAGAGGTTTCAATTTGATTTGTTATGCAGAAAAATAGAATTTTTTTATATGAATGGATAGTAATCTGTTTTTTTTCTTTTCCAGTTATCTTCTCCAATCGTCCAAAGTCAAACCCCAAACCCTAGTTTCTTTTGATCCCAAATTGACCCTTTTATTGAATACCAAGTTTATTGCATGAAATGGAGGTGAAGCTATGGAACGACAAGCGCGAGAGGGAGATGTATGAGAATTTTGCAGAGCTATATGCGATTATCAAAGCAACAGAGAAGCTCGAGAAAGCTTATGTGAGGGATATTATTTCATCATCTGAATACGAAACTGAGTGCCAAAAGCTGATTGCCCATTTCAAAACCTTGGCTTTTACTCTGAAAGACACGGTCCCCAGCATCGAACGCTTTGCGGATACTTATAAAATGGACTGCCCGGCCGCCATTAACCGTCTCGTGACATCCGGGGTGCCTGCTACCGTTGAGCACCGAGCTGCAGCCGCCGCATCGACTACTACCTCTGCTGCCATTGTGGCCGAATGCGTGCAGAATTTTATCACGGCCATGGATTCGTTGAAACTCAATATGGTGGCAGTTGATCAGGTGTACCCTTTGTTGTCCGACCTATCAGCATCTCTTAATAAACTTGGTATTTTGCCGGCAGATTTCGAGGGGAAGACAAAGATGAAGGAATGGATCTCGAGGCTATCGAAGATGGGGGCGGCCGATGAGTTAACCGAGCAGCAAGCTCGGCAGCTCCACTTTGACTTGGAATCTTCATACAATTCATTCATGGCTGCTTTGCCTAATGCTGGTACATGAGGTGATAACCTTCATTTAGCTCTGCAAACTGGTATATTTTAATTTGGTACTTGGAATCTACATAAATTTTGGGAATCATTGGATTGTTAAGCTCAATATGCTATTAACGTGCTTAATATGGAGATAATGCTGTATGTTGTCATTTTATGAGAATAAATTTGTGATTTGGTTTGGTTTTATTGCATGGGAATAAAATTGAACGTTTTCAATGCAGTTTCATGTAATTTTGCATTTAGAACAGGTCAAATTATGGTCTTGGTCCCTCCACTATACTCAAATTTAGGACTTAATTCTCCTACTTTAATTTGGTATAATTCCGTACCTTTACTTTGAGGTTTATTTCAAAAACATGAATATGGAGTATAATACCTTTTTCATCTAGCTATTTAAAATATTTTTTTGTCAAAGTAGGTACCTAACGTGTACCACCTTTTTCACCTGTATACCTAAAAAGTATACAACTTTTTTCATCTAGGTACCGAAAGTTTATTTGTGACATTGATTAAAAATACTATGGATACCTAAATGAAAAAGGCGGTATCTTTTGGTATCTATTTTGATCAAAAAAATACTTCATGTATCTAGATGGAAAAGGTGATGTAATTTAGGTCTTTATCTCGACCAAAAAATATTTTAGGTAATTTAACGAAAAATGCGGTATACTTTAGGTACTTATTGTTGAATTAGACATTACTTTTATTAGTCAAATTGTTAAGTATACATATTCTGGTAAAAATGATATGTGGTTTTTTATGAAAAACACTCTTTCCAAACATAAAAATTTTCTGTTATAGTATTTTAATCGATATAGTTGATGGCGACAAGGATCAAATTATGCCAAAATCAAGGCAGTGGGGATTAAATCCCAGGTGAAGGGACCAAAACCATAATTTGAGCTTTAAAAGGATTATTCATCAAAGGACTAAAACTCAGAGCAAAAAACTGTTGGAAACAGAAGCAGATAAAGTGAGATTCCATTGAGAAGACAAATCTACTTAGACATGGTGAAATTCCAAACAAAAATATCCTTACCAAACTGGTTGGTTCCTAACTTCCTCGAGTTGTTCAGTCCCTTGTCTTACGAAGGAACTCGCATGCGCAACGTTTCTCTCGATGATGTTGAGTTGTTGACCCTGAGCTTCCACGAGTGCAGCCATGTCCAGGAATATCTGATGGAGCTCGATCAAGTTCTTCTCTATCTCCTTAACATCATCATGCCTTTCTTGAATCTCGGAAATGGTGTCCATAATCTGACCCCTTCATTGTTCTTGGATGGCCCTCTGAAGAAAGCTTTCGCTTTCGCCGCTCGAGATCAGGTTCTCGATCGTTTCCTCGTTAGGTTTCTCCCCTGTGATGAAGTATCTACGTTCAACTGTTTCTTTATACTCTTCTTGCATCCTCGCTCCTAGTGCTTGAAAATCATCCATCATATCCTTCATTTTCTTTCCCAAGCCACTGACCACCGAGGTTCGGGTTCTATTCGTAGATGAACCGGGGCCACAACCTGGAGTGTTCGGACTGGCCGCGTTCGACTGTTCCAACCCTTCAAGATTCCCTTTGATGACTTTGACTCTTTTAAGCACCTGTTCGACATCAATGTCCATTCGGGAACGGAGTTGTTTCATCGTCTTTGCGTTGTGGGCGGTTTTGCATTCTTTGTTGGCATCTTGTAATGCCTTGTACAACCTTTCGACATCTTTCATGTCTTGCTTTACGCTCTCGACATCTTTGAAGAATTTATCGAAATCTACGCTCGGTTCCAGCTTCCATTTCATCCTCGTAAGCCTGCTCCGTGTATTTCTTGAACGAACTCGAGATTAAGTCATTCATCTTGCCACAAAAGCTACTTCACAATTTACTCTATTTTCCTTGAATTTTGTGTTCATATTTTTGCTGAAATTTAGTTGATGGTGCTATGATGAACGATCTAAACGTTTTAAACTTGTAATTGAAACTGGTGTTTTCATGAGAATGGGCTTGTTTTTTCCCCTCCCTCTCTTTTCCCTCTTCATTAACTGCTGCAATTGGCAATGGAGGAAGAGGAAGAGAGAGGGAGAGGTGGTGACAAAAGGGAAATTTGCCACCAATGAAAGTATCAAGGGACCAAAAGGTAATTTCCCCCTGATTTTTTGGTAACGAAATGGAGGTGATTAGAGAAAGCTAGTCTAAAAATAAGACTGTTTTGTTTTGGGTTTTTTTCTCATAACAATGAATGGATAGCTTGGTTGATCTTGTCAATGGAATAACTTTTCTTTCCTCAAATCTCTTGAATACGCTCATTAATATTATCAATCATATTTTACCAAATATATTATATTCTATTTCTCATCAATAAAAAAATGTCCACCAACTTTTATTTTTCAATATAATCAAGCGTTATCACATTCATTAGTCAATTAGTTTACAATTAATTCAAATTAAATAATGTAAATTTATTAAATATAATTCTCCTAATACAATTTATTCCATTTATAATACTAAAATTTGAACTTATTATCTTAAAAACCTCGAATCATTGTAAATTTTAAATGATTAGGATTCATACCAATATCTCAATCATATTGAAAAGATTCAAACTGTTAATTTTTATGATCAATTTAATCGAATTCTCCATGTGATGAGCTCCTAAAATGTACATTAGCTTCAGCCTCCTCTCTCTTCCTCCCACCCGACCGGCAGCATTTCTGTCGTTGAAATCCGTGTATATTACCATCGTTTATGCACAGCATCTATGCCTTAATAAAGAAACTGTCGAAGGGTCTGCGTCGGTATTTCAATCACTGGTTCCAAGATCAATGCTGGTGGTGGTTTTTTCTCCTTCGGTGCTGCCACCAGGTTGCGCCCGAGTGACTTATATGTCACTGTGGCCAGTGGAGGTTAAAATACTTTGCTGCCTAAGGTATTTGTCGGTTGCATCTGGAAGCAATCTCATCATGTTGCCGGAATCCGAACCTGGAGACAGCTCTTCTTCTCGCTCCGGCTGGATATTCAAGTCGATTTGGCCTTTAAAAGGTGAAACCGTGGATTTTACTCTGTCGGAATCATCGCCTACACCCTCACTGACAACCTTTTTCTGGTTTGGACTGCTGCTATTTCCCGCACTAGTGCAAAGGAGGGGGTTATCGTCCAATACTTTATCCGGCAATGAAGGTTGCTGCTTCTTGCACGTAGTTTCTGCTGCTGCTTTTTGGAACTGTTTCTTCTCACGCCGCAGCATGAGGGTGCGGAAGCGTCTCTTCACTGTCTGGCAGACGTTACATGTACATGTCTGCTTGTGTTTGGGGCCCTTCCCACTAGGGGGTTGAATGCACACGATACATGAGCAGCCGGGTCTATGCCGGGGGTGCTTCGTCGTAGCCTGAGAAGAAGTGGGGAGAACCCCGTCTTCTCCCAAGATAGCTAGGTTGGCAAGAGTGTCAAGCCCCTCTAAAGCATCTACGTTTTCCAGTTCCCGTTTAGCAGATTTCATTTTCTTAGAAGCAGCTGTCATTTGTGACCATAAAACGAAATTAGTTTCGTAATAGGAAACAAACGTCCCAGAACCAGCATTCTACAGAAAATCATCATCATGAAATCAAATACTGTTTCCTTCAAGAAACAAATACCTCGATTACAGTTTGGTACCAGATTTTCCAGCTCTTCTGCTTTCAGTTCTTGAGCAGCCAAACAAAAACATCTGCCAGCATGGAAAAAATGGGGGGAAAATGGTCACACAAACGCCCATTGTAGCAAAAGACAGCAGAGTCAAAGTAGAGAAAAGAAATACTCGAATGAGAGCTTACCTTTCTGGATCCCATGAGTTACTGGAACAGGTAAACTTGGAAGGAAGAAGAACATCGAAAGGCAATCTACGCCACTTAAAACAATCTTCGCACTGAGCCCACTGTATCTTTTCCCTGAAACAAAACAGGTATTCGAAGTTGTGTGGTTTAAGACAACTTTTGCTGCCTATAAGACTAGTTGGACTTTATTTTCATTATAGACTATAAGTACAATACAATAGTTCATATCACACAAGAATTACAGAGTGTCTGTCTATGTTTTGGTCAAGTTAATCGAATTTCTTTAAAATAAGGCTAAACATCTGAAAGAAAGAGAATTACCCGGACTTTTCAGTTGCAAATATTGTAGGCTTCCCCAGAACCGGCGCATCCTGCTATTAAAACAACAAAAACAAAATTGAGAAAATTGCAGGAAAGGAAGTAAAGCATCCTCTACAATGTGGAATAATATATCGTATAAATATACACTACTTATAGCAACAAAAAAGTAATAATGGATCACATCTTTACACTAAGCCTGACAAAGGGTAGAATAAGAAAAATGAAAATGTTATTTCATCAAATTATTGAGGACCTGTGGTAGCATACATAAACAACAAACAACGTACAGGTTCTTGAGCAACCCTGTATGGCTTTGTCAAGGGTACCAACCATAGAAATTCTCAGCTAAAAATGTTAGTGGAGTTCAATTCGCCCACAAAGGGGTAACAAACACCACAGAGATAAAGTGGCTTAGATTTCTGCAACTTCATATATTAAAAGTGGTCAAAAAAGAAGCATTAAATTAAGAATAATCATACCTCATATTCTTCAAACTCGAAACCTTCAATTAATATAACATTGGCTACATGATTAGGAGGGGGACGAAGCAGCCCTTGAGCTTCTTCACATGTTACTTTCAGCTCTATCATGTCTTCATTATCAATTCTTAGGCGCTTACTCTTCGAACCCAGCACAGTATTCTTCCTCTTTCTGTGATTTGCTAGTTTGGTTCCTAATGCTTCCTTTGCTATGTATCCTGACTTATCAACTTTTGACCATGAGGTAGGATCTACGAGTTCGGCCTGGTTGATGAACAGCTAGTGAGACTCAGCTATCTTTTAAATAATCAATGGTTATGTATTATCAACAGATTTAGGTTTTTGGACACTAACATCTCCATGGATAGAAACTCCACTACTGTTTTTGGCTTCAGTGTCCTGCCAATTGAAATGCATAAATGAATGTAAATTGTAATTTCAATCAATGGCAACCACACAAAATTAATTTAAAAAAAAATTAAGTATAGATTTTAGAAAGAACATTTATCTTAACCAATGAATTAATGTTTTTCCATGATTGAAGTATAACAGCATCCTTGGAAGGAATTAAATACAAGGGGAACAAAAGAAGTTATATGAGCCAGTTGTATTGCATGTTATCTTAGCTCTAGAACATATAGATTCACAATCAGAATAATAATTGCGCAATACCAACCTGCTCAGTTGCTGAAGTAGTTGAAGCCTTTCTGAAACCCATGACCAACTTCCCTCCAGGTTCTAATCGACTAAATGTTACTGAGGAAACAGTATAACTATCAGTTTTCAAAACAGATGTAAGTCTCCAAACATGATGCTTAATCATTGAAATATCCACACACTGATAAGGAAGACAAAGCAAATGCACAAGAGTGCAAAACACAGAATGCGAGACAACCAAAATGAATAGAACAACAGGCAACAGAATTCGACCCTGTCATAACATATATGAACTGGTAAATCTAAGGACAAGGAGCAATTAAGAGAAGTCGGAAAAATTCTAAATTATAAAACCTAAAATAGGAGAGGCAGACTAATGTACTAATAACATTAACATGGCATACTTTAGGCCTCATAGCACAAAATATTGAATCTCTAAATTCTTGTTTCAAGTGATATCAAATTGTTACCTATGTCGCCCGCTTGCAATTGCATGTTTTTGTATGCAAGGAGTTACCCCCTCTAAAACATACATCCGGCTATTGTTGTTGGGCCAGAAGCGGAACTGAAAAATCCATTCCTTTCCTTTTGAATCCTGCACTTTAAGTGGTAATCCTTCTGGCTGAGATATTGGAGGGAAATAGGCCTGTCTCATGATGAGTGTATTTTAGTATGTGATGATAATCTAGGTAATAATTGATGAATTCAGATATACAAGTACCAAACACAATGCTCATATTTAACTTCAGCAAAAGGATCGTTTAGTTACAAAAAACCCAAAACTAAATAAAGTGTATTCGGTAAAAGAAATGTATGATGCTAAGTGAGACAAAAAATATATGAAGCTGAACAAACTACCTTGCCACAAAATAACACTAGATAATTGATGTAAATAAAAACTTCACCACCAAGCTCAGGGTTTAAAAAACGGGCCGCGACCGCAATATAGCGGTTTTGCCACCGTCTGAGTTACAAGCGACGGCCGCAATAGCGTCCGCGACAGCCGCAATAGTGCCCACGACGGCCGCAATCACGGTAAATCCGAAATAACCGAAAACGCGACCGCGACTTGAAACCCTGACCAAGCTTTTATGAACATCGCTCTATATTATTTTATGGCAAAGCAATTAAAACAAAAAACACAGATCAAATAAAAAAAATTAAGCAATGACTCACCTCAGCACATTTTTTTGGCAGCACTAGACGTCCAATCCGCCCAGCATCACTGGCACTCAACATTTTCTCAAACAAAGGAGTGATTATAGAATTTGAACTTGCATATGGTTAAGTCTAACTGAAGCACAATGTAATTCACTTAATGGACAAGAACAGAAAATAGGTACAAATAATTACATTTTCAACAAATGTTTTAGTCAAATAATCCAACTTTGAGAACTAATATTAGTGGAGGTTTTCCCCCCAAAATTTGTATAGAATACAAGTCTCTCACAGAAGAACAAAGCTTGTTTTCAAAAAGGTTAATTAACTGTGCAAAATTATTTATTAAGATAAATGACCTAGTATGTTAAAAAGAAAAACCTACAATTTAGCAAGAATGCCTTCCAGAATAAAAGGATACTCAGTGGAGATTTGCTGCAGGTCTTGGTCAGTAAACCTAGGCCAATAACGAGGAAATGGTTGATTCCTTCCACGGCCATCTGGTCGAGGCCTCCCATTACGAATCTGAGTTTCAGCTGAAGAGTCAAGCCCATTATGTAGATTACTATTAAATTGCTTGGCCAGTGGAGGTTGGGGGTTTGGCCGCAAATGAGTGCCAGAAACCCCAAACTGACCATTTGATTCATCTGTAGATGTATATGGGACAGTTAACCCGAATGGTGGAATAGATGACTCCTCCTTCAGAGAAGACGGCTGAGGTTTAGCTAAACAAGAACCACACTGCTCCTCACAATTGACCCCTGAAAAACAAATGGTTCGCAAGAGAGTCAGAAACCACCAATAAGTTGTTTTAGAGACCATTTTAGCAAAACAAAGTGTATGTCCTAGAATGAGTGCACACCCATATCTCATAAGTCCGTGCATTAATGCAGGTATAGATTTCCTAAAACTACTATGATTGAAAGAGGGAAAATTTTATGAACCTGTATTTCCATTCTCATGTATATCACGTGCAAAAGGTTTCAAAGGTCCATTCATTAACCTTTCAGGAAATTCCTCAATTTTCTTCATTTCCAGGGAAGGAGTGGATAATCTGTCTGAGACATTTAATCTGTCAATACCAGTGGTTAAGTCAACTTCATAGGGAGCTCTAGAATGTGTTGAGGAATTTAATAAACTGGGCGCTTGCCGCCAAGGTACTGAACCCGAACCAGGTAGTTGACTCCAACCTTTAGCAGGATATTCTTTAAACCTCTCAGACAAAGATGAATGGAAAAGCAAAGAGGGTGGCCATGAAGAATTTGATCCCTGAGATAGATTGTGAAAAAAAAATAAACCGGTTTCCACCACAAAGGAATTCTATTGACTAGGAAACATACTTCAAGTTGCAAACTTTAATTTAAAAGTGAGATAACATCCGCTAGAAAAAGGATGCCTTTTGTTAATTTAAAAGGAATTCTATAGAAAAAGGATGTATTTAATAGTTGGGCTCTTGTTTTTAAATACATCAGAATAATATAGAAAAATCATTCATGCTCTCACCAAAACAGCATTTTTCCTCGAGCATGCTACGCATTCTATTCCTCCTGCATCGAACAAAGTAAATGTATGTGCCGAAACAATGCAACCGCAATGAACACGCTGCAAAAAGGGAAGATAAAAGCAGGCATTCAATAACATCATATAAAACTATAGAAAAAAATTAACGTTGCTAAACGTTTCTACCAACCTTCCCACATGCCTCGCAGGTCCTCCAACCAGCATCATTCAAGTGAAAAGTATCACAAAATCTCCCCTCCTCAAAAACAGCACTAAAATCACAAAGGGAGCTTAATTCAGATTATAATATAATAAATAAAGGAAACAACTCGAATTAAGTAAAACGTTCGTCAATATCTAATCCAAGTTCACAAAATGTCCCAAATTAATCACCGGAATACTCGTAAAAATAGACAAAATCCGGCAACTAAACTTAAATTCCATAAATAAAAACAAAAGACGGCTGAAAACGAAGTCAAACAGAGTCCAAGAACAAAGTGAAACTCACGCGCATCTATCACAGAGCTCCGCTAACTCTCCGCTTCGCAACCGCCATCCTTTCCCCGGTCTCTCCGATTTCAACTCCTTACAGCTTGAATTGAAGCAAATCTTCGAAGACGTAGCTCCCGCCGAAGTCGACGTCATCATCCTCTTCTTATTCTTCTTTACTTTTTTTCAAAAGTTCAAAAATCCACACGTAAATCTTCTTCTATTCATGAAAAAAAAAACAACAAAAAGGGAAAAAACTGTGAAAAAAAGGGAAATTTACGGGTTGATCTGCACAATCATGAGAAAAATAACGAAAGAAGAAGAGGGCTTTAGAGAGAGATAAGAGTGAAAGCAAGGTGAAAGAGAAAAACGATTAACGAAAAAGAAAATCGGAAATATAGTAAATGCGTTTATACAATGGATATAAATAAAACAATAAACAAACAAACAAACAGGAGTGTTTTATTATTATTATTATTATTATTATTGTTTTATTTTTGTATATTGAGGCTAAAAAACAGCTTAAAAGACACGTCCAGTCCGTAGCCTTCTTATATAAAATAATCTTTAAGAAAAGCTCCTTGGGTCCACTCATTTTTAGGTCGTCCCGAATCAAAAATTTTATCCATCTAAATTTGATTTATTATATTCTTCATTTGACCAAAAATGTACAGATAATAATATTTTAATATATCTTTAAATATATAGAAAATTATTATATTATTATTTCAAAACAAATTTTTTTAATCTTAAATTCTATTTAATCTCATCATTTATAAAATTTGACACAGCCTAATTCGAAAAAAAAACCATTGATTCTATACAATTCGATTGGAATCCTTCAATTCTAATAAAAGGAATATCCCTACTCATTTCAGTTCAATATCTTTTAGACGGAATAATAAAATATTTTGAATTTGAATATTATTGATAAAAATAATATAGATAAGAAGTTCCCATTATTTATAAATTTTAATTTTAAATTTAATAAAACTATTATCCAACGCCAAAGGAAACGCACTAAACGATAATAGAAATATACCTTAAGAGTGTGTTTGGTTGGGAGAATGTGAGATTCTCATGGAAATGGAATCCACATTCCCCGTTTGGTTGGTCGGGAATATCATTCCCGGTAATCTTACATTACCAATAGTATATTTTTTTGGGTATATTACCGGGAATGTCATTACCTCCATTTCCTTATGTATTATTGGATTACCGGTGTTTTGGACTAAAATGTCATTAATTTTTTTTCTTACAAAAATGTCATTATTCTGTCATTAAATAATAAAATGTCCTTATGATAGAAGTGATTTTTTTCTTACTTATTGAATAATTATCTTAATCGTAAACATATGAATGCAATTTTTTTATTATGAAAAATCAACTATAATCGGAAATAGAGTGGTCGGCTTCACGGCCAGATATGCGACTCCAGCTAATTTTAAGATTCACTGCCTTCCCAGTCTTGCTTCTTGAAAATGAAGCTTATGAATAACTGAGCTGCACTTCTCCTTTATTTACCACAATATATATATATATATATATATATATTCTTGAACATTTAATATTGACTATGTCCTTAATCATATTTAATTTGAATTATTATTATATTTTAATTTGTGAATAATAATAATAATAAAAGAAATGGGGAAAAGCATGTGTGAGTTTAGAGAAAGTGAATCACGCGCTACGTGAAACATGCATGACCTCGACGCAGGACATGCATGATTTACACATTTACCGTATAGCCCGCAGTGACCCAAATTCCCCTCTTCACTCAATATACTCATATAATTTACGAATTATTTTTAAAGTTTACGACTGTTTTCATATATATAAATAAATTTATAATTTTTCCATTAAATATATAAATTAATTCCGACGAATTAAAGTAAAAAATTAACTATTCGATTTGCATAAAAGTATATCTTCTTATTAAAAACAAAGTTTTATATTCATTTTAAAAAATTTAATAAAACAAACCTATTAATATAAATAATTATAATTCATACATGTTATATATATTTAATCAATATTTAAAGAAATAATTAAATATATATAATATTATCACGAGGGAATTTGAAACCTAGTTTAAAGCAGGCCAATAGAAGTCAAAATACCGGAACCTAAATCTTCAGCACTGCAATGACTAAAAACACCCTAGACATTGAGATTCTTTTAGGCTCCGTTTGGTTCACGGAATGTAAGATTATCCGTAGGAATGTAAGATTACCAGTGGGAATAAAAGATTACCAGTGGGAATGAAAGTTTACCAGGGAATAGGATTACTAGGAATGTTGTATTTTGTGTTTGGTTGGTTTAGCAGAAATATAATATTACCGTATTTGGTTAAAAGAATAAAAGATTATTGGAATGTATATTTGACCAAATTGTCCTTATTATATATTTAGTTTTTTAACAAGTTAAAAAATATTTATATATTTTATTTAAAAAATTTAAATTCATAAAATTTATATAATTGTTTTACAAAATTAAAAATATAATAAGGTTTAATGAAAGGGTAAAATTTTATTTTACCCCTGAACTTCATATAAAATTTTAATTATAGATTTTTTTTGTAAATCTAAAATAGTTTAAAGATAAATTTGTAATTTAACCTTCGTAGAATTTTTATTATTTAATGACAGAATAATGATATTTTTGTAAGAAAAAAAATTAAGGGCATTTTAGTCCAAAACGCCGGTAATCCAATAATACCTAAGAAAATGGAGGAAATGACATTCCCGGTAATATACCCAAAAAATATACTATTGATAATGTAAGATTAACGGGAATGACATTTCCGACCAACCAAACGGGAAATGTGGATTCCATTCCCATAAGAATCTCACATTCCCCCAACCAAACACACCCTTAGAGGATGTTTGGTTCAAGAATTGTGGGATTCCCATGGGATGGGAATCCCACATTCCCATGTTTGGTTGGCCGGGAATCTCATTCCCGGTAATGTTTTATTACAAATAGTAGATTTTTTGGAGTATATTACCGGAAATGTTATTACCTCCCTTCACTTAGGTATTGTAACATTACCTGCGTTTTGGACTAAAATGCCCTTAAATTTTTATTTTTTTTTCAAAAATATCATTCTTCTGTCATTGAATAATAAAAATTATACGAAGGTTAAATTACAAATTTATCCTTATTAAATTATTATAGATTTACAAAAAAAAAGTCTATAATTAAAATTTTATATGAAGTTCAGGAGTTAAAAAAATTACCCTTTCATTAAACTTTTTTTATATTTTTAATTTTGTAAAAAAATTATATAAATATTATGAATTTAATTTTTTAAAGAAAATATATAAATATTTTATAATTTTTAATATTATACAAATATATAATAAGGACAATTTGGTCAAATATACATTCTAATAATCTTTTATTCCTTTAACCAAATACGGTAATCTTACATTCCTGCTAAACCAATCAAACACAAAATACAACATTCCTAGTAATCCTATTCCCTGGTAATCTTTTATTCCCACTGATAATCTTACATTCCGTGAACCAAACACACCCTTAAGGTATATTTCTATTATCGTTTAGTGCGTTTCCTTTGGCGTTGGATAATAATTTTATTAAATTTAAAATTAAAATTTATAAATAAAGGGAACTTCTTATCTATATTATTTTTATCAATAATATTCAAATTCAAAATATTTTATTATTCCGTCTAAAAGATATTGAACTGAAATGAGTAGGGATATTCCTTTTATAATTTTTAATATTATACAAATATATAATAAGGACAATTTGGTCAAATATACATTCTAATAATCTTTTATTCCTTTAACCAAATACGGTAATCTTACATTCCTGCTAAACCAATCAAACACAAAATACAACATTCCTAGTAATCCTATTCTCTGGTAATCTTTTATTCTCACTGATAATCTTACATTCCGTGAACCAAACGCACTCTTAAGTGATTTTTTTTGTTTATAACTGATTTTAATTTATTGCCAATTGTATTTAATAAATATTTAAATAAATAATTAAAAACACATAATAGTGGATTACATAATGAATCGAATAATAATACATGAAAACTGTGGAATCATAGGATTACTGTCTGCAATGACTGCGACATGTCGGACATAGGAGACCATGTGACATCCAATTTTATTACAAAGTAATGTAATTCTCAAGCAACTATAAAACTATATACTTAAATGGGATTACTCCATTTATAGTACCTTCCAAACTTTTGAAGTTCAATTTAGTCCCTTTAATCTTTTGACTAAACTATATAATTGCATTTTAGCCCTTCTAGATTTTACTAATTCAATTTAAATCATTTTAATATAACTGTTTTAGTTTTGATCCCAAAATTTCATAATATTATCTCAAACCTTAAAATTTCCGACTTCACCCTGTGAAAGCTTTCTTTTACAAATTAGCCCTGATTTGAGGTATCTTGTTGGTTTTGTAATAAATTCTAAAATTGCAGATGAAAGGACAAAATTAACATCGAACATCGACCACATCTAACGAAAAATATAGTCCCCTACCTCTCATACTTATACTTTAGTGGTTTAAATATCATTTTTGTTATTCATTTTAGTCTAATTTTTATGAGGGTTAATGTACCTTTTGACCATTGCCTTTGTCGTTGAATGGAAATTTAGCCCCCTCGCCCTTTTTAGATGAAATTTAGCCCGTAACCAATTTGACAAAAAGTGTAAACTTTGAGGGCTTCTTCCAACTTGAATTCTGCTCGACTCGATTACAACCAATGGTCACAAATCCAGCTCGACTTTTATAACGGAAAAGACTTAAACTCTTGTCGGATCCAACACATGGAAATTGATAATCACAAATGATTCATAGTAAACACTTCAATTAAACTTTCTTTAATCTCAAGTTTGAGTTTCAGTAATAACAACAAAGGTATGGACAGGTAAGGTTGAAATGATGATTCAACTATAAAAGTGTGATTATTAGTTAAAATATTGAATGCTGGAGTGATATTTCCACTGTTCAAACCAAAACCAAGTATGAAACAAAGAGGCATTCAGTCGATTCACTCAGATCGGTTCGGACTCGTATGTCGAAAATGACTGAACCCTCATCATCTGAAACTTTGAAGATCAAAGCAAGGTCCTATTTGGGTGCAAATAGAGTAGCCAAACCTTGATCCACAGTTATTTGTAACTTATTGTAGGTCATAAGAGTTTTTTGATCACCCATGTATGTTCCATTTCCCCTCGCGATGACTTCACCGTCTGAGTCTATGATCCCTTCCTTCGTTGGATCATCGACTCGAGCACCAGGCTCCAACAAGAATGCCTTCACCTGTAGTTGTAGTCATAGAAAGGAACGTGGATGGACTTGTTACTATAGCGATGAAATACAACCATTATCTCTGCTACCTTCTGTAGAAGAAAGTTGTATGACCAAACCAGTTTAATTGTTATCGTTTGGGAACTCACCTTAATGTAAGTAATGTGTGGCGATTTGATGTAATTCCCATCGTTCATATTTGACATTAATGACAGCAAGGCTAATTTTGGCACATCCTTAAGCATAATCAAGTCCAAATATCCATCCGAAAACTGCAGGTTGTAACCAAAAAAAGGAACAGAAAGGGAAAAATGAGAAACACAAATCAATCTGAAATGTTGGAACTTATATTGTAATTAAACATAACAGAAATAAATTGCATAAAACTTGGCATGGCTGCAATAGCTTTATACAAATCAAAAAGTGGTAGAGGAGAGAAGGTTCCGACGGATCTGGCTCTGCACATTCTATATAATAGATATTCCTGAATTTGAAACCTTAGAGCTTTCTAAAACCAGGAAAGAAACAAGAAAACATAAGGTTTCTCCGGATCAAGAGGGCTTCTACATGTAATCGGGCAGCTAGGAAGTTTCATATGCTGTACATTATAGAAAACTGAAAAATTCAATAGCTTTGTGTTGCGTAGTATGCTAATGTATACTCCGTAAAGAAGGTTCGCATAAGGCAGAGCAAAAGAAACTCAGCTGTATCTTTTCTTTAGATTTTCTTATCAATTCCAGAGGCATTTGGAGAAACTGAAATGAACTATTAGAATATCTACAGATAATCTAATAAATTACTACATTAAGTGGTGAGTGCAAAATAAACCTTCGCATCGGGTGCGGCCATGATATCTTCGCCACCCCACGGAACATTATGGAGCCAGATTGAAACAAATGGTCCACTAATAGTCCTCCAACGCATGTTCTCCAACTTAACACCAGACCCAAGGTAGCCGTGCTGTTCAGTTTTCAAAGACAACTCTTGAGTTTGGCTTTCTTCACTGGTAGATTCACCATGATAACTCGTGGGCTCCCCATAGTCTTCAAAGCCAGGAGCAGGCACAAAACTAATACGTCCATTGTAGTGCCTCAAACAGAATACACGTTGAACAGCCTATACAGAAAACACAGACTAATCCCATTACGAAATCTCAATCATATTAAGGATCCATACAAATTATGCCCTAATTGTGGTGCAAAAGCTATGGCGTAGGTGCAGAACAATAAACCAGATAACATGAAGGGGACATACATAGAAATCAATACGGGCACTCCCCATCCACCTATATTTTTCAGATTCAATATCTATATCTGCTATCAGACCTGAAATAAAAGAAAATCCATGTAAAAAACTGCAATATTTTTAAAGAAAATCCATACATCATCAAACTTATTGCGAAGAAAACAGATCCACATGGAAGGTAGAGAATAAATACACTCCAAACATACAATCTAAAGTGGACGAATTTACATACCCCATGCAAGCATCAAGACACTAAAAAATCTTGTCTTCCCTTGTGAAATAGTAGCTACATCAAGCGAGCGTTTATAACCTGCAAGGAGTAAAATGTTAAGCCAAGAACTTCTTTACTCAAATACTGTTGAGCTAATCTCAATGAAATCATAGACATCCTTGTTAACCTCGAATAACAGTGAGAATGGCGTTAGAAGCACTGCACGGTTCGCCAGCTGCATGCAGCAAAGACTTAACCATGCCATTTCCAGTTCCTACAGCCACAAACATTTACTATCAGATCAACACTGCGAAAAAAGTCATTGCCTCAAGTGTAATTAAGCAGGGAAAGAAAATCAAAACAATCTGCAATCCTAATGAGGAGCCAACGAATACTTAAAGCAACAAATTGAGTATTAGTATCCCGATACAAGACAATCAAAATATACAGACAAGCAAATATCTTATATGTGCCAATACATTAAACCTGCAAATCATTGGAAGAAGGGCCTACAAATTGTAAATTCCATAGGTCTTGGTTCAACCAGCATCATAAATATTAAGGGTTCCAAAAATCAAGAAATTCAAAACTCAACCAAAAGATGAATTTACATTCACAAATAATATGTTTAAGAAATCTTAATTTATACTAACATGATGATACAGAGAAAACGAACCTGCAGGGATCAATCCAATAGGCATCTTTATTGCAGCACTCCAATCTTCTCTTTCAAGAAGTCCATTCACCACCTACTAAAAAGTTGCAATAAATGCTGAGATAAATAAAATCAAAGCCACAAAAGTTCACAATAATGCAAATATTCAAACATGATAATTCAAAACTAACCTCAACAAGAATTCCATCTCCACTAACACACACAATACCATCATATTTTGATAAATCCATGGTTTTGGCAACTTCTTTTGCATGTAGTTGATGCTTAGTTTCTGAGAAATTCATGTGGTTGTCAAAATCAATATACAGCGAACCTATATTGCTCGCACTCGAGTCCAAATAACATAACAGTGAACTACAATTTGCTAGATTCAATAATGAAGTTGAAAGGGGGGGAAATACATGGAACCCGAACCTATGAGAGTGATATGGATGTCAGCATCTTCAAGGTACGGTTTTACATCTTCTGAGAAAATTTTAGTGGCGGATTTCTTCCCTCCAAATGGGTTAACAAATATTAATAGTCTCTTTGGCCGTCCTGTATTGAAATTTTTAAATAAAAATTTATGAACAACGATTACAATTAACAAATTTGAAGGAAAAAACAAAAAAGCTTTGTTTTCTATACCTAGAGAATCAATGTAATCACGAAGTTTCTGAGACCAGAGTGTGAGGGAATCTTGTGATTGAGGCTCAAACACGAAGCTCTGTCTAACCAAATCTCCGCTGCTCCCGAAACAGCAGATTCTGTCTCTCTTCTCCACGACGGTCTTCAGCCGGATCCTCGAACCTTCCAAAGCGAATCCGATAACCTCCTTCTCCACCGTCAAGCACTGTTGACGTTGACCTTTGAACAGGAGCTTGCCATCGCCGGTGAACGTGAGCGGAACTGAGGCTCCGTCGAACAGGACTAGGTCCGATAGTATAGGGTGGAGGTTATCGGGCTGACCGCTTTGATCCATAGAATTGACCGGTTTGAAAAAAGTTTGGCGTTTATTGCAGGACTGGTTGCTGCCTGCTATTTGTAAGAAGGGAGGATGGTGGCGGCGGCTTTTTGGCTCCGGTTTGAAATGGTGAACCGGGTTTAATACGCCGTCCTTTGTTTGCCTCGCTTTTTACGTCAAAGTTTGTTTTGGTCGTTTCTTTTCCTTCTGATTTGTAGTTGTATTAAACCACGCTCTCACGCGCTACTCAATTCTTTGCGATATAATATTTCATCTCTCTATTTGAATCAATAATTCAAATTAGATTACAACCGAGTTTAAAGTCATGTTTTTATATTAATACCTTAAAACTGTTTTTATCTATTTAAAATGTAAAATTCCGTTATCAACCCTCCTTATCTGTCTAAATTGTTAAATTAAATCATTTTTAAGTCTATATGTTATTTTTAAAAATTCTGTTCGAGTCAAACATTTAAACATTGTATTAGGTTGAAATTTTGTTAAATATTTAACAGAGTTTATATTTAAGTCATTATGTAATTTCAAAACAATTAATAGGTAAACTACCTTAAAATTACTTACAAAATATATCGAATCTGGAAAAAGAGTAAACACTTAGCCACAACCCACAAGTTGGACTAAGAATTTATTAAAATTATACCAAAACTTTTTTTAAAAGGGGGAAAAGTTTTGTATAAATAGTATGGTTCAAATACAAAACGAGAAAAAAAAGTATCGTTAAAAAATCTCTCTAATCTTAGATAGAGAAAAAAGAGTGTGTCATGTTATGTCGAAATAATAATATAAACAATTACAATCACAAATCTGTATAAATCCCGAGAACGTCTCACGTGCGGCAGCCTTAATATACAGCTAAGGAAATGCGTTACTGATTTTGTTATTACTTTTTTTTAACAAAACTGGTAAAAAGTTACTAACATTATTATTTCTAACGATTTTGTTATTATTGGACGTTTTACCGATTTTATTAACATATCCGGTAAAGTACCTAAAATATTATTTTTTTTCTACCGGTTTTGTTATTATTGGACATTTTACCGGAAATGTTAAAAAATATTAATGTTTTAGACAGAAATAATAATGTTTTATATAATTTTTTATTGAAAAACAATAATAAAACTTGTAACGTTTTTTCTTAGTTGTATGTACAAATTCCCTATAAAACCCAATGATCAGAGTGAAATTTCCACTAACCCGCCCACTACAATGAGTAAAACAAGACAGCTCAAGAAAATCACTGCAGCAAGTCCACCCACCTCAACTTCCAACCCCGCTGCCATAAACAGACCAAGCAGCTCACGAGAGCTGCTGCACCATGGACGAAAAGGAATGCATCTAGACTAAAACTCACCATAGCTGCAACAAGCGGTGCCCAGAACAACTCCAAGACAGCAGCCCCGTTAACCACACGGACCAAAACAGAGAGCCAGTAACACCCTGCGCCTACTGCAAAGCTTGGCAGCAACGAAACACCCCAAGCAGCTCACTAAAAGCCCCAAAATGTAAACAATCTACAGCAAAGCACACGTGCTATCCAGAGCAAGGAAACCATACATCTAACAGAACCATCCACCAAAACAACTACCTGGATCAGTAAGCAAGCCAAAACGAATAACCCAAACATTCAAGCATCAACAGACAGCCACAACCGAGCAACAGCCACAATATTATACCCTGAATAAAACTCAACTGAATAGAGGCCCATGGAACTGGATTCCCGCAAAACCATCCACACCACAACGAGCCAGGACACACGCTGCAAATACAAAACTAACACACTAACAAACAAACCAGTAAAGGCGGACAGCGCAAGAAAAACAAAACCTGCAGCTACATATTGCCAATAGCATTCCGAACCCTGCAAAAATCAAGCACCAAGGGGGTGGAGAGGGGCCATTTGCATTTACACCAAAAACCTATACTTAATAAGGCCATATCAAATAACTGTGCATCATTGTAACATTTATTGTTGAAGACCATCTCATTTCTACCGAGCCAAATAGACCACAACAGACCAAAGAGAGCCATGAGCCAAATGGGTTTAGCAGCAGCCTTGATTTTCATGTCGTACCAACTCAATACCAAGCCTAAGGCCGCTTAATTCGTGTTGAATTTTGAGTTTAAATACATAATAAATCTTTATATTTTTTTAAATATTCTAATAGTTTGACCCCTGTCAATATTTAGTTCTGGATTCGTCCCTGACTATGACTACATAATTAATATTTTTGTAACAGTCTCAAGTTTAAATAACTGCATCCGTAAAGTATGTAAAAATCTTGAGTTTAAATAATTGTATTTGTATAATATATTGTTAATGATTTAAAAAAAATTAAAACTCAAAAGTTATATAAACTAAAATTAACAAAATTAGAATACAATTACAAATCTTCAACTTATACATAGTAAAAAAACCTAATATGAAAATAACATGATTTAACTGTTTTAAAAAGGGATAAATCAACTTTTTTATCTTTAAAATTTACAATTTTCTCAATTTAGTACATAAACTTTGCTTTGGTCTATATTAATATATGAACTTGATATTTTTCCATTTTAATATTTTTTATGGCGTAGTACTCTCAAATTATAGTACACTCATAATGTCACATCATTAAAATGACTGAAAATAAATTTAAAATCTAATTTCAATGATCAATATGGACCAAAATATTCAGGGATTAAAATTGAAAAAGTTGTCAAAGTTTAGGGACTATTTTTTATCCTTTTTAAAAAGTATGAACAAATAGACGAAATGTATATATAAAAAGAAAAGGAGCGTGGAGCGTGGCAGAGATGATGAGAGGACTACGAAACTATTGCACGGCCCTAAGATGCGCGGAGTGTTGAGCTGTGCGAATCTCCTTGCGTTAAACCTAACTTTACTTGGATCTTTGTTAATGACATTTGTAGGGTTCCCACGCTCCATTAAAGCACGTGTTCACGACAGTCTTTGAAAATTGGTCAACCCTCAATTCTATTTTTTTTGGAAAATATCCAATATTTTATTGAGTAGTTCATGGTTTGGAACTGAAAATTATGCCACAATAATTGATTTAAGGTTACGGTCCAATAATATAAAATAGCGTAAATTACACCGGTAGTCCCTGATGTACTCTTTTTTTAGTTTAACCAACGAAAAATATCTAAATATTTTTATTAATCCTTAATTTAAAGACACTGACTTGATTTTTCTTTGTCCTTCAATAGTTACGTACATTCCTTCCACATAAAAGTCGAGACATCCAAAATACCAACAAAAACCCCTATACAAGAAGAAGAAGAATTTTTAGGTAAATTACCTATTTAGTTATCAAATACCGAATAAAATATTTTATGAGTTTCATCATTAATATTTTATTTTACTGTCAATCAAGTTATTTGTAGTTAATGGGTTAACATAATTATAAAATGATTGTTTTCAAATTTGTAGATTTAGAGGGTCAAATTTATTTATTTAGAATTATGATCAAATTGATAAAAATATATAAATAATAAGGATTGAATATATAATTATATAAATTTAAAAACTACCATATCAATAATTATTAATCAATTAACGGCTGACGATTTGATTAACACCAAAATAAAGTATTAGTAACCTAATTGAAATTTTTTTTATTTGATGGTCAGAATAAAATCAACTTTACAATTCAATGACTAAATATGCAGTTTACCCTACATTTTCATGGGTTAAAACGCTCTGTCCTTTCTCGTTAATGTCATCGAATTGTGTAATAGACTCATCATCTTTAAACATAAAACAAACTTTCGTTTAATCTCTATACTATAATTATGTATATATTTTTTTATTGTTTTATTTTGAAATTTGGTCATGATCCAAATAATAATAGTTAAATTTTATTATTAGTCATTTTATATAGTTAATTCTTATTATCTAATTTTATCACTTTTAGTCCTTATAATTTAATCACATTGTCCTTATATTGTTTGGTTTTATGATATACATTTTAAAATTTTAAAAGTATAAAGATTAAAATGAATCAAATTAAAGTAGAAGACTAAATCCATAGCTTATCATATTATAACTAATGATAAAATTTGACCAACAATTATCCATGGAAAGCCAGTTAACCCTACTACTAAGAGGTGTACGTTAAAGATAATGCATGAATAATTGTGTAGTCGCCCATTGAAAATTTAAAGTTATCATATATTTTACATTTTTTTCTACATACTTTTTATTGAAAATTTGTTTATGACTCTCTTTGAAATTTATAAATTTGTCCCTTTTTAAAATTTTAGAAATTTATCTCTTAACATCAAATTCTATGTCCGTCTAAATAATAATATTGGAATTAATTCATTAATTAAAAAGTCAAACTAAGGTTTGGATTATTTTAATAGATTTAATGCGTATATTAATTCTATATAATTTGATTCTCTTATTTTAATAATCTTATTAAATAATTTAAATTATTAACTATTTTTATTCAAGTATTGTGGAAATACTTAATAGTATCAATTTTCATTAGAGTGTTTTTGTGTACGTGATATTCAAATCAAATTTTGTCTAAAACGAAGAAATATATATATAATATGTGTCGAGGACACATGTTGACATAAATACGATATTTTTTAAATTAATTTAGAGTAATTATAATGTAATATATATTTAAAATAAGTATCAATAATTTGATAATTAACGTTAAAAAACTTTTGTAAACAACGTGTTCGAATCTCCTTGCCTCTAAGAATAAAAACTATTCTCTTAACTACTGAAATCATTTGATTAGTATAAATTCTACGTCTTTAAACATATATTTGATTTAAAATAATTAATTAATACACATATAATTATTTAAATGTAATTTGTGTTAAAATATGTTTTGGACCGTATACGGTCACCAGGATCTATCAGCCGCAAATTCAATGAATCGACCTTTACTGTAAAAAAGACGAGGAATTGATTAAACACGAGCACACAAACAAACCAATCCAAAGAAGGAAAATTCTCACCCATTTCCACGAAGCTTCTTTCTTCACAAAAATCCAAACTTTCTTTTCAAATATCTTTAACCTTTTGCTTTTGTTTCATTTCATCTTCCTTATACGAAACAAAGGGAAGAAAACAGATACACAGAGAGGAAATTTGATTCCTTTTTTAGTTGGATAAATAAAGAATGGAGTGTGCTTCTTGGAAGTGACA